TGCCACCCTGTTTACGTTGATAAACTAAAGCCCTCTCGCAAAAATCTTGAACCCCATTCCAAAATTCCAATGTATCGCGTCTACCATACATCCAACCACGATCCTTCTCCATTTAGTAAATTTTCTCTAAACATATATAGCAACATATAATGAATGATGTGTAATTGCTACATATTTTATGTAAATCAAATTCAAGTACAAAACGTGAATGTACCATTCATATAGTGAAAAAAGCATGTTTTCAAAGGGTCCTTATCACTCCAACCTAACCCATCCTTGAATGTCTACTCTCACTAGTGAATGTATGTCAACTTTCCAATTTTAAGGAAAATCCGGCAGCATTTCCCCCTAGTTCTCCAAGTACACGATGTAGATAATTAATTAATCACATATGTACCCAGAGAACATAGTGAGGAAATGGTAAGCCAAGATGTTCCTTAAAATCGAAAAGAAAACATACATTCACCACCTAAGTGAGAGTACACATTCAATAATAGTCCCAACCGGGGACTATTCAAGACTTTCTCCTAATGAGAAAGCCTTGAACGGGTATCTAGGCATATGATGATGCATGTATTCTATATATCGTTGTATTTATTTGCAATTAAACAATACACATGTTGCAATTTCATGAATAAACTTTTATTAAATTGATAAATTGAAATAAATATAGCTTAGTAAAGTTTATAAGTCATACCAATATAGCAACTACCCACTTGAGCTCAATATGTAGTCCTCAAGCTAAACTCGTGCTTCAATTCACATATGAATCTATATATTAAAAAAAAACAAAAATTAGCAACGTCACTAATTCTCTAATATATTCACAATTCTCTAATGTATTCACAATTCTCTAATTTATTCACAACTAATTAAGTGGCAATATCACTATTTCTCTAATTTATGCACAATTCTCTAATTTAATCACAATTCTCTAAATTATTCACAATTCTCTAATGTAATCACAATTCTCTAACTTATTCACAATTTTCTAATTTATTCACAACTAATTATTAACAAGGTCACTAATTCTCTAATATATTCACAATTACCCATTAAAACAACCTAAAATTACACATAATAACATACCAAAATTCAACTAATTAAGTAACATTTTTACTAATCTCTACTATATTCAAAAGTACTCATTAAATCAACCTTAAAATAACCCATTAAATCATACAAATTTTTCAACTAAGGAACAATGTAATGCAAAATTACTCTAATCTACAATATGTATTCAAAATTTCTAAATAAACAACCAATTCAAAAATTAAAAAAATTAGGGTAAAATTATATACATTCCTTGACTTTAATTTGCTTAACAATAATTGTTCAAAATGCTATTGAAAATAATAGAATTACATATTTCAAAATAATTGTTCAATTTTTTAACAAAAAAAATAAAAACTTACCTTAAACTAGTTGGAGGTGGAAGAAGCTAAGGGGAGGAGAGATTGAGGACGACCCTCGCTGGTGGAGGAAGCAACGGTGGTGCGCAATGGTGGAGGCAGCGCTGCGGTGGAGTGGTGGAGGCGGTGCGCGGTGGTTAGAGATGGAAATATTAAGTGGATATCCGCTAACCCGCTCCACCCGCTTAAAATAAATGGACGAAAACCCGAATTAAATGGATGAGAAGCGGGTGACGGATGAAGCGAATGATGGATCGGATCGGATGTGGATGATATTTTTTTCACCCGCTAACCATCCACTCATCCGTTTAACATATATTAAATTTTTAATCAAAGAATTTTACTAATAAAATATAGAATGTGTAAGAAAATTACTTGGTTTTTTTTTGTTGCAAATTAATTTTTCAAACAATATGTTGTTATTGTTTCTTTTTTATTAATAAATTAAAAAAATTATTATATAAATAACCAAAAATTAAAGTTTATCTGAGTTTTTTTTTTTCATTTTAGTACTCATCCATTTATCATCCGCTCCACCCGTTTAATCCGCGGATGATGGACGAACGGATATGGATGATGGGTGAAGCGGATGACGGATGGATGTGGATGGAGCAATTAGGATAATGGATGGATGCGGGTGAAGCTCCACCCGATCCAAATCCAATACATTGCCATCTGTAGCGGTGGTGGAGGTAGCAGCAGTGGCTGTTGTTTTCGAACAATGCTGATGGAGGCAGCAGCTTTGAAAGAGAAAGAAATGGAAAACATAAGGGCAAGGGAGGATTGAAAGAGAGGGGCGGTGGTTTTCAACACCTCTGGTGGCCGGTGAAGGTGGCAGCTGTGGTGGAGGGAAAAGGGGGAGGTTATTCAGTTCGCTCTAATGAAACAGTGAAGCTAAGGGATAGAATGGAATGAAAGAGAAAGAGAGGAAGGAGAAGAGAATAGGCAGCCCCCAAATGGCACCGGTTCAGGCCAAACCGGTGCCATTTCTCTTGTTCTAAAATCCCGCCCATTTCTAGACCAGTTTCGGCCACCGGTTTAGCCTGAACCAGTGCCATTTGGGGGCTGCCTATTGCTATTTTTCTACTAGTGCGGGATCTGTAGGGAATATTTCAAGAATTACCCCAAACTTGAACCCCACTGTGATCATACACTAAAGCATGGTGGCGTCCAAAGGGAAGGAAGCTAGAGCAAAAGAGTCGCCAACAAGTTTTAGGAACTTGTAAACCGTTCACAGGGTGAAGGTTACACCCCTTAATGATCCAGGAGATTGTTAACTCCAATAGGTCTGGAAATTGGAAGTTCGGGGATGAAGGTACAATCCAACCTAAAAGAGATTGAACTTGCCCTAATAATAGACCTCTACTTTATTCTTCTTGTATCATGTGCGCTTTTAGACTTACATACAATCATTAGGTTAACCCTAAACCTGTTTATCTATGTTGGTTGAATTTTAATGCATAAACAAAACTATTATTGGTGATCACTTAAATTATAATCAAATTAACCCTAAACAAGATTATTAATTATCTTATTAAGCATGATTACAAGTACAAATTACCTTTAACATGCATAAAAGATGTGATCAAGAAATAATAATAATAATAATATAATCAAGCAACATAATAATCATCATAATAATAATTATCATAACAATAATTATAACAATATTGGCAAGAAACATAATCATGTTAAAAATAAAGCACAATAATAGCAAGATCCTACGCATGATACTAACAAGATTAATAACAAACCCTAGCATGTCACTAAACATTATAAATCAAAACTTTAGCCCTAACATGATACTTACATGCTATTAGGAAAGAAAATAGGAAGCATCACAGAAATCATAATTGATATAATGAACTTATTGTTGTCACCCTAAACATCATACTAAGAAAAGCATCATAACATGATATTAGAAAAAACATTCTAAACATGATACTAGGAATCAAAATAACAATCTAAACATGATTTCTATATCATAATATCAATTAAACAATTAAAGCACTTACTTGGATGTCTCGTATCTCTTTCTAATAACAAAATACACACGTTAGTAGCTTCAAGGAAAATAATAAAATTAAAGAATTAAATTAAATAATTGAAAGAGAGATTTGGGACCAAACCCTCGAAAATATCAAACCTTTCACGTCTAGGGCGAAGACAACTTCGAAAAGAGAATTTTGTTTGTGAAAAGCTAGTTTAGAATAAGAGAGAGAGAGAGAGAGAGAGAGAGAGTATCAAGATTTTCTTGATGAGAGTTGGTGATAATTAGATGGGAATTGATGATTAAAAACAGAGGTTTAAGGACGCTATTTATAATGAAAACAGTCCGGATATGATAAAAAAAAGAATCGTAGGTTGAAGAGGAATAAAACACATCTCTGTCGCTGCAACAACCCCTGTCGCCGTGCGACAGGCCTGTCGTCCGGCGCTGCAAGACAGTTTTTGTGGATTTTGTTTTTAACATATCTTTTGATCCAGAAGTTGAAATAAGACATATAATATGTTGTTGGAAAGGTCTTGAAGTCTACTTTCCAACCCAATTAGAATCAGATTGAAGACATCAAATTCACACCACTTTGAACCCCTTTCGACACCTATTCAGCCACCGAAACCCTCTTCTAACACACCCCCAGCCATCGAAAACCTCCTTCGACACACAACAGCCACCGAAACTTCCCTCCTTTCCCCACTCAAAACCGGCAACCACCACACAAAACTAGCAACTCGTGGTTAAGATCGGCCAATATAGGTTCGAATTTGACCACTCAGGCCCTAAATCGGCCGATTTCAACCGTTAGTGGCTAGTTTTGGTGGTGGCTAGGGTTTAGGGGTTTGCGGGCTGGTGGTGGGCTTGGTGGCTTAACTAGGATTTAGGTCTTTTTTATTTTCCTTTTTTTAAAAAAAAATTTAACCAATATATAAATGACATGTGTGCTTGGCAGGCCAGCAGGGGTGTAAATGAACTGATACGTTTGTGAACTACTCGTGAAAAAGCTCGGTCAAAACTCGTTTGTTAAGCTAACAAACAAGCTTGAACAAAAATCTTAAGCTCGTCAAATATGTGAACAAAGCTCGAACAACATCATGTTCGACTCGGTAATGTTCATAAATAACTCGTTTAAGTTAATTTATAAGTTTTTTCACGCCTAATTAAAATTTGCAAATTTTAGATATCTTTTATTCATACATATTTGTAAAAAGTACTAATTATTTCATCATGTAAAAGCATGAAAACTCTGTCATAACCTTTTTCTATAGAAAGAATATAAAAATTTTATATAAAATTTAATGGATGTGTTAAAATTTAAAAGAAACCATTTTTTAATGATAAATTAAGGCTCGTTTGTTTAATCAAGCTCGATTTAGACCCGATCAAGATCGAACTTAAACTCGAAATGCAAACGAGTACGTTTGTGAACAAAGCTCGAACAAACCAAATTCTTAACGAGCCCAACTCGAACAAGATTTTTAAAAGCTCGTTCAAACTCGGGATAGTTCGAACATGAATATTTCTTATCAAGCTTAGCTCGAACAGACTAGAACTCGGCTCGGCCCAGATCGTTTGCAGCCCAAGGCAGGGTCCACAAACGGTTTTTTGGACGGCATCTATCAGGTGGTGGTGAAATCAAATTTTCGATTTTTTTGGTGGTGTTATAATTTAAGTTTTTTTTTTTAATTTTTTTTATTTTTATGTGTTATAATCAAAATCGTGATTTTGTTGAGGTGTTATTTCTTAAAAAATCCTTAGAAGTATGTACCTATTTGTACAACAAGCACTTTCAAAATAACCAAAAATTGAATTGAAGGACACCTCTTCCCGCCATTGAAGAACAACAAAGCCTATTCATTTGAGTTTACAATTCCAGACTTACCAAACAATTGAATTGAAATCCTCGAATTAAACCGAATGAATGAGGATTTCTTCTCAGAATCGCTCATTAATATCAATCATCAAACACACCTTTAAACCCAGAATTAAATTCCATTGTTATTGCTATTTTTCATCAACCCCTGATTCCAATCTCTTGACATTGTTCAACCAATACGTTGATCCATCCAATGTGCATTCATGGAATTCAGTCATTGCCGAGCTTGCTCGTAGCGGCGATTCGCTCGAAGCCCTTCGAGCTTTCTCGTCGCTGCGAAAGCTATCACTTCTTCCTAACCGCAACACATTCCCCTGTACTATTAAGTCCTGCTCGTCTTTGTGCGATCTTTTCTCCGGTCGACAAGCCCATCAGCAGGCTTTTGTGTTCGGTTATGATTATGATCTTTTTGTGTCTTCTTCTTTGATTGATATGTATTCTAAATGTGGGCAGATTTGGGATGCACGCAAGCTGTTCGATGAAATTCCTCAGAGAAATGTTGTGTCTTGGACGTCTATGATCACGGGTTGTGTACAGAATGATGAACCCCATGAGGCTTTGGTACTGTTTAATGAGTTTTTGTCGGAGGAAAGTGAGATCGAGGGAGAGAAGGAGGGTTTTTCTGTTGATCAAGTTGCTTTGGTTTCGGTTTTATCAGCTTGTGCTCGGGTTTCGAACAAGTTTGTGACAGGTGGTGTTCATGGGTTTTCTGTAAAACGGGGTTTGGATGTGTTTTTGGGAGTAGGGAATACTTTGGTAGATGCGTATGCTAAGTGTGGGGAGTTGGTTATGTCGAAGAAGGTGTTTGATGGGATGATAGAGAAAGATGTTATTACTTGGAATACTATGGTTGCAGTGTTTGCACAAAATGGATTGTCAACTGAAGCTATAGAAGTGTTTCATGACATGGTGAATGATAGCCACATTAGGTATAATGCAGTGACCTTGTCTGCTGTACTGCTTGCATGCTCTCATGCCGGGGCTTTGCTTCATGGCAAGTGCATACACGATCAGGTACAAAAGTTGCAATCTTCTTGAAAAGTTTGTGTAGTTCAATGGATTGTCATATCCATTATTGGTTTTTATAATGTTTTGTTTCTTTCTGATGAATAACTATAAAATGCTAATTAATGTTGCCTTATATAATTTTGCAGGTGGTTAAAATGGGTTTGGAACAGAATGTATTTGTTGGCACCTCAATTATCGACATGTATTGCAAATGTGGGAGAGTTGCAATGGCCAGGAGAGCATTTGAGCGTATGAAGCTGAAGAATGTGAAGTCTTGGAGTGCAATGATAGCTGGTTATGGGATGCATGGTTATGCCAAAGAAGCACTTGATGTTTTCTATGACATGAAAAGGGTAGGAGTAAAACCAAATTACATAACTTATGTATCAGTTTTAGCTGCATGCAGCCATGCTGGCCTTGTTGATGAAGGCTGGGACTGCTTCACAAGCATGAAAAGGGACTTTGGTGTGGAGCCAGGGGTTGAACACTATGCCTGTATGGTCGATCTTCTTGGTCGTGCTGGTTTACTTGGCAAGGCGTATGATTTGGTTAAGGAAATGAAGGTTGAGCCTGATTTTGTGGTATGGGGAGCTCTTTTGGCTGGTTGCCGAATGCATAAAAATTTAGAGCTTGCTGAAATTTCAGCTAGAAAATTGTTTGAATTAGACCCAAGTAATTGTGGGTATTATGTTTTGCTTTCTAATATGTATGCTGATGCCGGAAGGTGGGAAGATGTTGAGAGAATTAGAATTTTAATGAAGGAAAATGGTTTGGTTAAACCACCTGGATATAGCTTGCTTGAAGTGAAAGGGAGAGTTCATGTATTTTTGGTTGGAGATAAAGAACATCCTCAACACCAGCAAATTTATGAGTACCTGGACAAACTATATATGAAACTGAAGGAATTCGGATATGTATCTGATAAGACATCAGTTCTTCATGATGTTGATGATGAAGAGAAGGAATTCATCTTACGGGCTCACAGTGAGAAGCTTGCAGTTGCATTTGGTATTATGAATACTGTTCCTGGGACTGTAATCCATGTCGTAAAAAAACCTCAGGGTTTGTGGTGATTGTCACACTGTGATAAAGCTAATTTCTAAAGCTGTCAACCGAGAGATTGTGGTAAGAGATTCTAAGCGTTTCCACCATTTTAAAGATGGGTCTTGTTCATGTGGTGATTACTGGTAATTGATATAATTTCTTCCTTGAAAAGAAAGACTCGGTAGATTTGATTATGCCCACTGCAGTAATGGTTATCAAAAGATGATTCTCTACTACTTCAGGAGAAGTGGTGGACATGAAATATCCGTATGGATGCTACATACTGTTAGAATGGCTTCTCAATTTATGCTTCGTCTCAATTGTTCTGGAGGGACTAGCATTTTTAGTGTTGAGGGTATTAAGAGAAGCAAGCAATTCTCTTAGGGAAGATTTCCTTAAGCCAGGGTTCTGGAGGAGACCATTTAATATACTACGCTTTGTAGACTAACTGTGATGTTAAGACAAGCTAGAAACCCAAAAAAAAAAAAGAAACATGCTAACTAACTTGGAGGTGCAAAGGAAAAGCATATACTGAATGTTCCAAATTCCAATAATTTAGGTTTATAACAGCAATACAATATGGAATATTTACGTGACAAACTATCAAGTTATGGAGAGCATCCTCTGAAAAACTTGTCTAGAAGTATTGATTTCCTCCTCGGAGAACTCTCTTGGATGTGCTGTTTGTTACGATCATAGTAATTTAGAGTACGCTTCAGGGTGTCATTTTCAACCCTCAATCTGCTCACCTGATTTTGCAGCTTAATGATGGTCTCTCTTTTCTCAGAATTTCTTCTGATCAACTCAACCTGCAGCTGTGTATTTTCTTCAACAAGCTTTGAAAATTTGTACTTCACTCCATAAAACCAGGGATTTTCTGGCTTGATACTGCTTCCACCTTTGGGTACCAAGTTATCTGCAGTCCTCTTAATATGCTCATTGTCAGCCATACCGACTTCACATTCAGTATCAGCATCTTCTACAGAAGATTCGGGATTAGAATTCGTAGTCTCTAACTGAGAATCATCCCAGGCTCCCAAGTCATTCATATTTTTCTTGCTTCTATTGCTGAAAAGGGATGACGATTCAGAAGTATGGACATCTATTGCAACATTTTTTAAGCTTTCATATTTCTCTGCTAAGTTGCGGTAAGATATGCAGAGATCTTGAACCACTTTTTTGGTATTTTCTTTTTTTTTTACACATATTTCATCATTTTGCAAGGGAGAATCATCATCTTCCAGAAGAGCCAGAAGGATCTTCATTTTTTCATCCACACCTGTGTCAAAGTTGAAAGAATTAGATGGAGTCAATTATCTTTTCCCATTGTATGGCTTCATTTAATCATCGTCGATTTTTTGGAAAAATCATACTCGTATTATGTATTCAGAAAAAACCGCATATTTATAGAAGCATAGATTTCCAGCATGATAGAAAGATGGAGGTCGGAATTTAACTTTATACTTCCCTTAACAAAGCTTCCTGAAACACCAATATATATGTGAAATATTTATAAAAAATATCCCTTTAGAACAAACCATTTTTACAGAATTGAGAATGTTGCTTTGCTTAAACAAGTAACGACATCATAACCTATGATTCCCTCTTTCCGAAGTTGGCTATTGCCTGTTAGAATTATACTCTGTACTAGCTATTCAAGGTTATCTTTATATGTATATTTCCAACCAAATATTCCTATGCTATTGGTTTTGGACATGCGATGCAATACATTGGATTGAATAGACCCTATTAGAAGTAATTACCTGATATAGTAGGCTGAAGCCATTGAGACCGATGTGCAAAATTCGAAGGCTCCTCGGCAGGGGCTTCCATTATTTCCATCGCGCTAGACGTCATTCTATATAATGTGAAGAATCAGAGCTGTCAAGTGATCAAACTATTCCAATTTATTTTGTTAGTTGGCTATGGTTTCATGTATATGCATAGCTAATTTCCATATTTGCGTTGTATTTTAAAACCATTAATTATGATTTCCGTTATTAGAGTGCTTAATTTTTGTAACTCCCAATAATGGCTCTTTAATTTGGTAGAAAATAAGTGAGTAGCCGTTGGCTTAACACGCATAAGTCACCGATTTTCTACCTCTTGAATTTGGCTTTGAACAATTGACAATAACTTCTTTTTTTTTTGGGTAAATTAGCGGGGTTATAAGAGAATGAAGATTGGAATTTGCAATACATAATTTTATAGGAAAAACTAATGGAATTGTCTTGGTAGTGTGGAACCATTGGTAAACAAAACGTAATTTTCATTCTTTTGAAGACGGGTGGGGATTGGATTCTATGCTTATTTTGAACTCAATGTATTGAGAATAAAATGAAAGATTATTAATTAAGCAAATTGATTCGTTTTCCTCTTATAATTTTTGGAGGTATGTGTAGACACCTACTTTTGGCCTCTTGTCTCGAAAGGAAGTGAGATGATACAAAAATCCATTTGTTGAAGTGTTTATGGACTACGAAATGCATTATGAAGTAAGTTAAAACTCATATTTGAGACCAAGTAATCTTAGAGCCTTGTCCGATTACTAATTAGGCCTAAAACGTGCTCATACATGTTTAAACTTGACTAATAACGGACCCAAATGCGGCAAATGCAATGAATCGATCCAATATATCTTACATGGTTGAAAACCGAGCCAAACAGATAAAACAACCATCATATTTTCGTTCATGGCCTATACAGATGAATAGCCCTTTCAAAGAGCTTTCCAACGGTATATATAAGCCCAATTCCGAGTTAAAACGAAGAAGTTTTTATCAAAACACTAAACCGGGCACTAAAACCGACACCCTTGAACTCCAACGGCCATATTGATTTTAACCTGATTCTAATGGCATTGGAAATTAGACATTCAGAGATTTCCAATGATATCTTACACGCCTAAATCCGACTTCTCAATCAAAAGTTATGGAAGTTTTAAAAACGTTTTTTCGTATAAGGCAAACTGCATCCCAGCGTAATTCAGTAAGTTGTGCGCGCCTGGCGCGCGCGACTGTATGAGACGCGCACGACACCCAGCGCGACTCATAGAGTTGCGCGCGCCACCTGACGCCGCAGCTCTAAAACCCTAAACCTAGATCCCTACGCCTATAAATAGGGGTCTTCGTTCAGCATTACGAGGACCAAAAATCATAATTAAAACCCTAGCATTCTCAAAACCCTAATCTCTCAACTTCCCTTACTATCATACTACTTTCTCTTCTATCTTGCCAAATACTTTCCAACCCTAATTGAATCCATTGAAGTCCTTGGAGGTACGAAGAAGAAAGAAAGTCCATAAACACATTAACCAAAGATTTAACATAAAAGAAGAATGGTTAGTTTCCTGATCACTTAGACAAATCACTTTTCTTTTATTGTTTAAATAACTATAATTGAATAAGTAGTGTTATTTGATCACTTTAAACAAACTTTTAATTAATTAATTCACATAGTATTCTTTCGTTTAATCAAGACTAGAATTTGATAATTAATTGTTGTTTTATCACTTAAGACAAGGCGAATATTGTTTATTTTGTTCTTTTCACGAATATTGATTAAACAAAGAATAATGACTTTTGCAATATAATTCCTACGTGATTAATTCTTGAAAATAAAATCAACTAATTTAGTCTTTAGGTATCACGTTGCATATATTGTTTAGTAATGAAATTGTGAAGAAGGAAGAGCTAGTAGAGGCCGTATTAGGGCTAAGATAGCGATTCCCCTCTAAGGGAACGTTATCTTAGTACCCTCGCTCCCGAACTCATTTCTGGTTTATGTAGACCAACTTGGGCATGGGTAAACTTACTATTCGTGCTAATTATCCCTTGAACTTTACTTGGAAGAAAGGTATGAATGAGTTTTATGAGTTTTCCTAAAACTCATTGGCGACTCCTACTTGTTGCTTACAAAAAAGCGTGATGAGAGTATCATTTCTAATTCAAGGTCTCCCAAACAGTCAGGAATTCAAATCCTAATACACCCTAACAAGTGTAAATTCTTAGGCTTCTAAAGGGTCATGGGCATCTAAGGAGAAGGATCCCCTACGATGGGAACACCCTCCTTACTGTATGGAATGGTGTTAGGAAATATTAGGCGAATATCTTTTATATTGATCATATATTTTAGTTTCCTTAATTATAGGCTTGATTGACTCAAGATAATATGTAGAATATCTTGTGTTATTATCTTAGGAAGCTGTGTACTCTATTTATATGTTTTGTGATCAATGAGAAGACTCCAAGCTTTGAGCCCTAATTGATTTAACATGATATCAGTCGCACAGGGTTTCTACTAATTTTTTTTTTTTTTTTAAAAAAAACACCATAATTCATCACCATGGCCGGTGATGATCCTCCACCACCACTAGGGGTGTTCATAAATCGGTCCGGACCCAAAAATGGACCGGACCACCCCGGACCGGACCAAATTAATCGGTCCGGTCTTCGGGTCTTAAAATTCATTTTTCCGGTCTTCGGTCTGGTCCAAAACGCTATTAAAACCGGTTTTTGACCAGACCGATTTTTTTATTAAAAATATGTGTGAAGCCTTAAATAATGGTTAAAATTATCCTTAATAAGCTTAGTAAACTTTAACTTTATAAGTTTTTTTGCACTAAACATAAAAAAACGAAGTAAAAATGACGTTACAATATAGTTTTTCCAATACTTTTTTTGTGTTTTCCTTAACTTTATTAAAAATTTAGTACTGTTTTTTTTAAAAATTCTTAAATCGGTCCAAAGCGGTTCGGTCCGGGTTTTGGACCGATTCTTTCGGTTCGGTCCGGGTTCGGTCCAAACTTAATCGGTCCGGTCTCCGGTTCTTAAAATTCTAATTTTCATTCTTCGGTCCGGTCTGGTCTGGTCTTGGACCGATGAACAGCCCTAACCACCACCATCACCGCGTATTGATATCACATCCCCGTACTACCTAGGTTCGCATGACAGACCTAGAGATTTCATAACTCTAACTTGACTTCGTGGTGAAAACTATGATGAATAGGCTGGAGATATTCAAACCGCGTTGGAGGCTCGCCGCAAATTTGTTTTCCTTGACGAAACTATCACCGCACCTTCCTCTCCGTGTACCCAAACGAATTGGAATACGATTCATGCTATGTTGATTTCGTGGCTCATGAATACCCTTGATCCCGAGGTCAAAAGTACTTTATCAAAATACATAGATGCGGAGTGTTTATTGGATACTCTCAAGATGCGTTTTGCCATTGTCAATGGTCCTCGGATTCAACAGTTGAAAGTATCCATTGCAAAATGTGAGCAATCGAAGGATATGTCGGTGGCCTTCTACATTGGTAAATTGACTGCTCTATGGGAAGAATTAAACAACCATGAGCCGATTATTACTTATACTTGTTGCGAGAAGTGCACAACCGGTTTACAACATGAACAACGTCGTGAAAATACTTGACTTCATGAGTTCTTGATGGGATTGTGCACTGACTATTATTCGCAAACTCGCACTAACATCTTATCGCAGGATCTGATGCCTTCTCTTGACAAAGCATAACAGTTAGCAGTGCAAGACGAACGAGTCAGACGTGCCAAGCAGATCTCTGATGAGCAACCACCAGAGGTAGTGGGATTCACTATTCGATCAAGCACAGGAAAGCCGAGGACAACAACCTCCGATGACAAACCTGATAGGTCCGGTCTCCATTGCACCCATTGCAAGAAGACTGGTCACTAAGTCTCTGACTGCTTTGAATTAAAAGGATACCCAGATTGGTGGCCGAATCCTTCAAAGCGAGGCAAGCCGCAACAGTCCAACCACAAAGGTCGTGGCCCAGCTTGTGCCAATGTTGTAGTAGCTGGCGCTTCTAGTCACAGTAATGTGGGTTCGGGTAGTACATCTTCAACATTCACAGCGGGATAATGAAAAGCAATCGCCGGTTTTGTTGTTACACAAAAATTCCCGATGATCTGTTGAATGATGAGTTTGATAATGACTTGTGGATCATTGACATAGGGGCCTCTGGACATGTCACTTGCGATGAAAGATGTTTATTTGATACTCATCATATTTCTCAGTTTCAGGTTGGACTTTCAAATGGAAAAATCGTTATAAATGCCACGAAGGAAGGCTTAGTTCGACTATCATCTAAAATTGTTCTGACAGATATACTATTTGTTCCCGATTTACGTTGCAATCTAGTTTCTGTACCGCAATTAATTGATGATACCAATTTTACTGTCCAATTTAACTCCAATATGTGTGCTATACAGGACTAGTCGAGGGATCTGATTGGAACGAGTTTTAGGCGTGATGGACTGTTTTACCTCAACGGAAGGGCAGTTGTGCAACATGTGGCTATCTCTGGTTCTTCGGCAACATTAGAACTATGGCACAAGCGTATGGGTCACCCTTCAGAAAAAGTTGTAAAACTCCTTCCTCCCGTTCATAATTGTAAGGGTAGTTTAAATAAAGCATGCGAACTTTGTTTTCGTGCGTGCTAAACACCCTAGGTCTAGTTTTTCTGTAAGTGAGAATAAAGCTTCTAGATTTTTTGAAAAAAGTACATTGTGATTTATGGGGATCATATAGATATGCATCATCTTGTGGTGCTTGTTATTATTTTTAATATAGTTGATGATTTCTCTCGTGTTGTTTGGATTTATCTGCTAGTTGATAGAACGGAGGTTTTTCGTATGTTTATGTCTTTTGTGGCAATGGTCGATAGACAATTTTCTCAAACAATTAAAATTGTTCAAAGTGATAATGGCACCGAGTTTAATTGTTTGCGTGATTTCTTTACTGCAACTGGCATCTTATTTCAAATATCGTGTGTTGGGACTCCTCAGCAGAATGGCAGAGTTGAGAGAAAACATAAACATATTTTAAATGTTGGGAGGGCATTGAGATTTCAGGCTAATTTGCCAATATATTTTTGGGGTAAGAGTGTCCTTGTTTCTGCTCACATAATCAATCGAACACCCTCCCCCCTCTTATACAATAAATCCCCATATGAAATTTTATTTTGCACTACCCCCTCCTATACTACCATTCGCACTTTTGGTTGTTTGTGTTTTGCCCGCAATAAAAAAGCCAAGGGAGATAAATTTGCTAGTAGAAGTCGTAAGTGCATTTTTGTTGGATATTCGTATGGTAAAAAGGGGTGGAACCTATTTGATCTTGATTCAAAAGAAGTTTTTGTGTCACGCGATGTAAATTTTTTTGAGGATATGTTCCAATTTCTTGATCCGATTCCTTCCAACATTATGCCTGAAAAAATTGTGCCATTGAATGAAGATGTAGCATATGATTTTGTTGATGTAAATTTGGGTGAGTATGGTTATTTAAGTGGGGGAAATACGCTCAGCCAGCTCCACATCCCACTGTCCCAACCACGGCAGCAACACCAGCGAGAGCTGGGCAGGCGTTGGAAGACACCAGCACAGCCACTGCCC